GGCCGAGATTACTACATGGCATGTGTACGTGCATATGCTGACGTATCGATCAGTTGGTTGCACGAGGCAAGATACGATCAGTAGTGTACGGAGCATGTGCAAGAATACAGGATGTAGTATTCCGCTCCTCCATTGTGCTGGACAAGCCATGTGGTCAAGCAGGAAGTTAATTCTTATTTGTAATGATTGGTCAAGAGAATGTGCGGGTGGAGCTTAATATGGGAGGAGTTATGTGCCTATATAGGAAGCCTGCACTACTGTTCAGGGCTCAGAACTTGCTGTATTTTTGGTGACATTAGTCCCTCTGAGTCCCGATCGGTGATCCAATAAAGAATCTCTTCCTTCCTGAAGAAACCTGTGTCCATCCCTCTGTGCTTTGCTTCCGTCAGTTTCTCCGGTATCAGTACCTCCCTCTACTGTAATGTAACCTGTAAAGTGCTGAGAACCCCTGTTAGCGCTATATAAATAAAATATACATACACTGTATACCTACTGCACTTACTGTACCTCCCTCTACTGTAATGTAACCTGTAAAGTGCTGAGTACACCTGTTAGCGCTATCTAAATAAAATATACATACACTGTATACCTACTGAACTTACTGTACCTCCCTCTACTGTAATGTAACCTGTAAAGTGCTGAGTACACCTGTTAGCGCTATATAAATAAAATATACATACACTGTATACCTACTGCACTTACTGTACCTCCCTCAACTGTAATGTAACCTGTAAAGTGCTGAGTACACCTGTTAGCACTATATAAATAAAATATACATACACTGTATACCTACTGCACTTACTGTACCTCCCTCTACTGTAATGTAACCTGTAAAGTGCTGAGTACACCTGTTAGCGCTATATAAATAAAATATACATACACTGTATACCTACTGCACTTACTGTACCTCCCTCTACTGTAATGTAACCTGTAATGTGCTGAGTACACCTGTTAGCTCTATATAAATAAAATATACATACACTTTATACCTACTGCACTTACTGTACCTCCCTCTACTGTAATGTAACCTGTAAAGTGCTGAGTACACCTGTTAGCGCTATATAAATATAAAATACATACACTGTATACCTACTACACTTACTGTACCTCCCTCTACTGTAATGTAACCTGTAAAGTGCTGAGTACACCTGTTAGCGCTATATAAATAAAATATACATACACTGTATACCTACTGCACTTACTGTACCTCCCTCTACTGTAATGTAACCTGTAAAGTGTTGAGTACACCTGTTAGCGCTATATAAATATAATATACACACACTGTATACCTACTGTACTTACTGTACCTCCCTCTACTGTAATGTAACCTGTAAAGTGTTGAGTACACCTGTTAGCGCTATATAAATATAATATACATACACTGTATACCTACTGCACTTACTGTACCTCCCTCTACTGTAATGTAACCTGTAAAGTGCTGAGTACACCTGTTAGCGCTATATAAATAAAATATACACACACTGTATACCTACTGCACTCACTGTACCTCCCTCTACTGTAATGTAACCTGTAAAGTGCTGAGTACACTTGTTAGCGCTATATAAATATAATATACATACACTGTATACCTACTGCTCTTACTGTACCTCCCTCTACTGTAATGTAACCTGTAAAGTGCTGAGTACACCTGTTAGCGTTATATAAATAAAATATACATACACTGTATACCTACTGCACTTACTGTACCTCCCTCTACTGTAATGTAACCTGTAAAGTACTGAGTACACCTGTTAGCGCTATATAAATAAAATATACATACACTGTATACCTACTGTACTTACTGTACCTCCTCTACTGTAATGTAACCTGTAAAGTGCTGATTACACCTGTTAGCGCTATATAAATAAAATATACATACACTGTATACCTACTGAACTTACTGTACCTCCCTCTACTGTAATGTAACATGTAAAGTGCTGAGTACACCTGTTAGCGCTATACAAATATAATATACATACACTGTATGCACTTACTGTACCTCCCTCTACTGTAATGTAACCTGTAAAGTACTGAGTATACCTGTTAGTGCTATATAAATAAAATATACATACATTGTATCCCTACTGCACTTACCTCCCTCTACTGTAATGTAACCGGTAAAGTGCTGAGTACACCTGTTAGCATTATATAAATAAAATATACATACACTGTATACCTACTGCACTTACTGTACCTCCCTCTACTGTAATGTAACCTGTAAAGTGCTGAGTACACCTGTTAGTGCTATATAAATAAAATATACATACACTGTATGCCTACTGCACTTACTGTACCTCCCTCTACTGTAATGTAACCTGTAAAGTGCTGAGTACACCTGTTAGCGCTATATAAATAAAATATACATACACTGTATACCTACTGCACTTACTGTACCTCCTTCTACTGTAACGTAACCTGTAAAGTGCTGAGTACACCTGTTAGCGCTATATAAATACAATATACATACACTGTATGCCTACTGCACTTACTGTACCTCCCTCTACTGTAACGTAACCTGTAAAGTTCTGAGTACACCTGTTAGCGCTATATAAATAAAATATACATACACTGTATACCTACTGCACTTACTGTACCTCCCTCTACTGTAATGTAACCTGTAAAGTGCTGAGTACACCTGTTAGCGCTATATAAATATAATATACATACACTGCATACCTACTGCACTTACTGTACCTCCCTTTACTGTAATGTAACCTGTAAAGTGCTGAGTACACCTGTTAGCGCCATATAAATAAAATATACATACACTGTATACCTACTGCACTTACTGTACCTCCCCCTACTGTAATGTAACCTGTAAAGTGCTGAGTACACCTGTTAGTGCTATATAAATATAATATACATACACTGTATACCTACTGCACTTACTGTACCTCCCTCTACTGTAATGTAACCTGTAAAGTGCTGAGTACACCTGTTAGCGCCATATAAATAAAATATACATACACTGTATACCTACTGCACTTACTGTACCTCCCTCTACTGTAATGTAACCTGTAAAGTGCTGAGTACACCTGTTAGTGCTATATAAATAAATATACATACACTGTATACCTACTGCACTTACTGTACCTCCCTCTACTGTAATGTAACCTGTAAAGTGCTGAGTACACCTGTTAGCGCTATATAAATATAATATACACACACTGTATACCTACAGCACTTACTGTACCTCCCTCTACTGTAATGTAACCTGTAAAGTGCTGAGTACACCTGTTAGCGTTATATAAATATAATATACATACACTGTATACCTACTGTACTTACTGTACCTCCCTCTACTGTAATGTAACCTGTAAAGTGCTGAGTACACCGGTTTGCGCTATATAAATAAAATATACATACACTGTATACCTACTGCACTTACTGGACCTCCCTCTACTGTAATGTAACCTGTAAAGTGCTGAGTACACCTGCTAGCACCATATAAATAAAATATACATACACTGTATACCTACTGCACTTACTGTACCTCCCTCTACTGTAATGTAACCTGTAAAGTGCTGAGTACACCTGTTTGCGCTATATAAATAAAATATACATACACTGTATACCTACTGCACTTACTGTACCTCCCTCTACTGTAATGTAACCTGTAAAGTGCTGAGTACATCTGTTAGCGCTATATAAATAAAATATACATACACTGTATACCTACTGCACTTACTGTACCTCCCTCTACTGTAATGTATACTGTAAAGTGCTGAGTACACCTGTTAAGTGCTATATAAATATAATATGCACTTACACTGTATACCTACTGCACTTACTGTACCTCCTCTACTGTAATGTAACCTGTAAAGTTCTGAGTACACCTGTTTGTGCTATATAAATAAAATATACATACACTGTATACCTACTGCACTTACTGTACCTCCCTCTACTGTAATGTAACCTGTAAAGTGCTGAGTACACCTGTTAGCGCTATATAAATAAAATATACATACACTGTATACCTACTGCACTTACTGTACCTCCCTCTACTGTAATGTAACCTGTAAAGGCTGAGTACACCTGTTAGCGCTATATAAATAAAATATACATACACTGTATACCTACTGCACTTACTGTACCTCCCTCTACTGTAATGTAACCTGTAAAGTGCTGAGTACACCTGTTAGCGTTATATAAATAAATATACATACACTGTATACCTACTGCACTTACTGTACCTCCCTCTACTGCAATGTAACCTGTAAAGTACTGGTACACCTGTTAGCGCTATATAAATAAAATATACATACACTGTATACCTACTGCACTTACTGTACCTCCCTCTACTGTAATGTAACCTGTAAAGTGCTGAGTACACCTGTTAGCGCTATATAAATAAAATATACATACACTGTATACCTACTGCACTTACTGTACCTCCCTCTACTGTAATGTAACCTGTAAAGTGCTGAGTACACCTGTTAGTGCTATATAAATATAATATACATACACTGTATACCTACTGCACTTACTGTACCTCCCTCTACTGTAATGTAACCTGTAAAGTACTGAGTACACCTGTTAGCGCTATATAAATAAAATATACATACACTGTATACCTACTGCACTTACTGTACCTCCCTCTACTGTAATGTAACCTGTAAAGTGCTGAGTACACCTGTTAGCGCTATATAAATATAATATACATACACTGTATACCTACTGCACTGTATGCCTCCCTCTACTGTAATGTAACCTGTAAGCGCTGAGTACACCTGTTAGTGCTATATAAATAGAAAATATACATACACTGTATACCTACTGCACTTACTGTACCTCCCCCTACTGTAATATAACCTGTAAAGTGCTGAGTATACCTGTTAGCGCTATATAAATAAAATATACATACACTGTATACCTACTGCACTTACTGTACCTCCCTCTACTGTAATGTAACCTGTAAAGTGCTGAGTACACCTGTTAGCGTTATATAAATATAATATACATACACTGTATACCTACTGTACTTACTGTACCTCCCTCTACTGTAATGTAACCTGTAAAGTGCTGAGTACACCGGTTTGCGCTATATAAATACCATAAACTGTTACTTATAGATCCTTTGTTTCTTCTTGCAGGCCGGTCACACACTAGGGAAGTGCACGTATCATTTAACTCAATAATATTACAAGTAATATTGAACGAACACAAAGATCTCACCACAACTCACTGCTGAAACTTCTAGTAGTTAAAACTGGTCTGTATGCCCCGGAGTGGCCGTGCTGTCGGTGTGTCCCCGAGTGGCCGTGCTGTCGGTGTGTCCCCGAGTGGCCGTGCTGTCGGTGTGTCCCCGAGTGGCCGTGCTGTCGGTGTGTCCCCGAGTGGCCGTGCTGTCGGTGTGTCCCCGAGTGGCCCTCTCGGTGTGTCTGTGTGACCTTGTGAGTAGGATGGAAGTGTTGGTAATCCGTTAAACCCTCTGCATGGAGAGCAGAGCTGGATAAACTGAGTCCATTCATGCAGCCAAGGGAAATGACACTCAACTACAAAAACAGATTTCCCAATCACTGGCCCTATCCCATCCCCCCCATTAGCCTTCCCAGCCCCTTTTCAGACTTCCCTTTACTGTGGGAGCATTCAGCCATGGATTAATGTGAATCCTGGAATGTGTACGTCAAATACCTTAATAAAGAACATCCCCCAACAGAATCCTGCACAGAGGGTTTCAATCCAGAAACATGGATCAGGCTCCCAGATATCAATCCACGGAGCTGCACCCCAAACAGTTTCTGTCTCCCCCACATCCATGGCTCTGCACCCCAAAATCCTGGCACAAAATTATATCCGGTCCTCCCACACCCATTACATGGCACCCTGATGTCCCAATAGTGCTCCTCCCATATCTTTAGCTCTGCACCCCAATATTAAAAAAGCCTCAGAAAAGTACGGGTTGTACAAGAAACGATTTGCATTCCCCCCGAACTCTGTATAGTGTGAGCCGTATCCCCCCGAACTCTGTATAGTGTGAGCTGTATCCCCCCTAACTCTGTATAGTGTGAGCTGTATCCCCCAAACTCTGTATAGTGTGAGCTGTATCCCCCCAAACTCTGTATAGTGTGTGCCGTATCCCCCAAACTCTGTATAGTGTGAGCCATATCCCCCCAAACTCTGAATAGTGTGAGCTGTATCCCCCCAAACTCTGTATACTGTGAGCTGTATCCCCCCAAACTCTGTATAGTGTGTGCCATATCCCCCCAAACTCTGTATAGTGTGAGCCATATCCCCCCAAACTCTGTATAGTGTGAGCCGTATTCCCCCAAACTCTGTATAGTGTGAGCCGTATCCCCCAAACTCTGTATAGTGTGAGCCGTATCCCCCCAAACTCTGTATGGTGTGAGCCGTATCCCCCCAAACTCTGTATAGTGTGAGCCGTATCCCCCCAAACTCTGTATAGTGTGAGCCGTATACCCCCAAACTCTGTATAGTGTGAGCCGTATCCCCCAAACTCTGTATACTGTGAGCCGTATCCCCCAAACTCTGTATAGTGTGAGCCGTATCCCCCCAAACTCTGTATAGTGTGAGCCGTATCCCCCAAACTCTGTATAGTGTGAGGCCGTATCCCAAACACTGTATAGTGTGAGCTGTATCCCCAAACTCTGTATAGTGTGAGCCAGTATCCCCCAAACTCTGTATACTGTGAGCCGCATCCCCGAACTCTGTATACTGTGAGCTGTATCCCCCAAACTCTATATACTGTGAGCCATCCCCCAAACTCTGTATAGTGTGAGCCGTATACCCCCAGCTCTGTATAGTGTGAGCTGTATCCCCCAAACTCTGTATAGTGTGAGCCATATCCCGAACTCTGTATGGTGTGAGCCATATCCCCCCAACTCTGTATAGTGTGAGCCGTATCCCCCCAGCTCTGTATAGTGTGAGCTGTATCCCCCAAACTCTGTATAGTGTGAGCCATATCCCCCGAACTCTGTATAGTGTGAGCCATATCCCCCCAACTCTGTATAGTGTGAGCCGTATACCCCCAGCTCTGTATAGTGTGAGCTGTATCCCCCAAACTCTGTATAGTGTGAGCCGTATCCCCCCAAACTCTGTATAGTGTGAGCTGTATCCCCCCCGAACTCTGTATAGTGTGAGCTGTATCCCCCCAAACTCTGTATAGTGTGAGCCGTATCCCCCCAAACTCTGTATAGTGTGAGCCATATCCCCCCAACTCTGTATAGTGTGAGCCATATCCCCCCCAACTCTGTATAGTGTGAGCCGTATACCCCCAGCTCTGTATAGTGTGAGCTGTATCCCCCAAACTCTGTATAGTGTGAGCCGTATCCCCCCAAACTCTGTATAGTGTGAGCTGTATCCCCCCCAAACTCTGTATAGTGTGAGCCATATCCCCCGAACTCTGTATAGTGTGAGCCATATCCCCCCAAACTCTGTATAGTGTGAGGCGTATACCCCCAAACTCTGTATAGTGTGAGCCGTACCACCGCCCCGAACTCTGTATACTGTGAGCCGTACACCCCCGTGAACGGACCACCTGGCACCCCGATTGGGTGCCTCCGCCAATCACTGCTTCCTAGCAACACCGAGTACTCCTAAGCACTCCACCAGACACTATAACCACCATAAACCCCACAGACAGCGTTACAGCTTGGTTGGGGTCTCGCTGTTCTCCTAGTCCAGAGAGTAAAGCAAGAGCAAGTGTTGTAATCCAAGGGAGTATAGTGATTATAGCAATCCCCAGAGTGAATATAGCTGTCCCCTCCACACATGAGACGAGGCTCTATGTTGAGGGTGAATAGGAACTCGTTTAATGGCAGCCACAACTGGCCTTATATGCAAGTCCCCATGCAAAGGGTTTACTCTAAGACACCCCAGGGGCATTCCCCAATGGACCTGAGAGGGGACTATGAAAAAGTACACACTTTACTAACATTGGCTCTCTGGTCCAGGACACGCCCACACAAAACAGGATAATTCCTGTCCTGTGTCAGGAACTGTACTAAACTCAATTATCTCCAGGCACAGAAAACATACATTTTATCAACACCCAGAAAGTACCAACAAAACACATTGAACCCCTACAAAAGTCACATCCCCTGATAACCCTGATCTGGGGGACCAACATATCCAAAAATCACCCAGATTAGTTCAGGGGTTCGGGATTTCAATGGAAGTCATAGTATTGACCGACTGTACACACGGTCCTATGCCCAAAACAGTTCCAGGGAATTAGGGCCAACAGTCGGTCTCTCTTTCTGGAGTACAAAAGTACATAAATCACATAAGTTTTTAAAGGGCCCATAGTCTTTTGGCAAGAGGCTGGCCAGCAGGCCCCTCCAAGGGCCTGTGGCGAGGTTACTTTCGCTACATATATCTTCCCCACAAAGGTAAGACTAACCAGGTACCTGACCTGCTGCTGGTCAGTACCTGAGTTAGTCGGGCAGCCCACCATCAACCAAGCACTTGACCTGTGGATCTCTGGTGCCCGGCTCTGTCCTGTATGTCCCAGCTGCTGAGTGGGTGTCCGTCATCCCCGATCTACCTTGTGCTCCCAGGCATGGAGTTGTGGGCAGGGCCAGATTAAGAGTCCAGTGGGCCTGGTGATGGGGCCTAATTTCAGAATCTTATCGACCAAAAAGACTAACAGTCATACCTCTCAAGCATCATGTATCTGATGGAGATGGTGTTTGAGGGAAACTCAAAGGATGCAGCTATAAGAAAACACATACTCTATACTAATCTAATTTATTCTTTCATCTTTCAAGTAAATCCAAATCCCCTAACAGCAGTGTCCAGTGAAGCAGGAAGTCAATGGGCGGGGTAAAAGGGTGGGCTACTGACGTGAATCACGTGACCAGAACTGCCAAAAGGGGAGAACATGCCCAAAAAGGGGGCATGAGTATGTGTTTTCTGTCCAAAGAATTGGAAGCCCAGCCTGGCATCAGTGTCCCTATGTATCACAGTGTCAGTGTCCCCATGTCACCCAGTCCCCTAGTCTCCCAGTGTCTCTGTGTCCCCATTTCTCCCAGTGTACCCATGCCTCAGTGTGTCCTGTGTCGCTAGGATACTAGGTGACATTGAGAGACATGGGGACACTGAGAGACCCAGGGACACTGAGACACTTGGGGACACTGGGAGACATGGGGACACTGAGACACTTGGCGACACTGGGAGACATGGGGGCACTTGTGGATACAGACATGGGGACACAGACACTGGGAGACATGGTGACACTAAGACATTTGGGGACACTATGACAATAGGGACACTGAGAGACATGGGGACACTGAGACACTTGGGCACACTGGGAGACATGGGGGTACTTGTGGACATAGACATGGGGACACTGGGAGACATGGGGACAGACATTTGGGGACACTGAGAGACATGGGGACAATAAGGACACTGAGAGACATGGGAACACAGACACTGGGAGATATGGGGACACTGAGACACTAGGGACACTGACTGGGAGACATAGGGACACTGGGAGACATGGGGACACTGTCCCAAACTAGGGACACTGGCTGGGAGACATGGGGACACAAACATTTGGGGACACTGGGAGACATGGGGATACTAGAGACACTGATAGACACTGGGAGACTAGGAGACACTGGGAGCCATGGGGATACTGAGACACTAGGGACACTGGCTGGGAGACACTATGTCCCAATGTGTCTCCCAATGTCCCTATGTCTAACAGGGGAGCAGCATCCCCATGTCTCTCAGTGTCCCCATGTCTCCCTGCTG